GGCCTTGATGGCTGTGGTACGAAGCATTGCGGGATTTTTTTTACAGCGTCAACAGAAACAAGGAATCACAATGTAACAAGAGCTGGAAGCGCTTCTATTACGAAGGCTCTAAGAGTTAAAAAGATATAAAATTGCAAATCAAATATAAGAGACCTAGTCAGTCCGTTAGCATATTTTCACTCGTCGACTGTTGATATTAAAGCTGCCGAGAATTTCAGACGGGCCAAGGGAAAGGAAGACGCACGATGTGTCGCAGAAAACAGGTGTCGACTAGAATTGCCGTAGCACCTGCACAAAAACGGGACTCATCAGAGAGCGCACGCACTCTGGATAGAAAATAAAGGTTTGGGGGAGAGGAGAGTTAGGTTGCAGAAGAACCTCAAGTTGGGGAACAGGAGAGAGAGCAAGGAAGCAGGATCCTAGCCTAGGAGCGAGAGAGGGTTTGCCGAGATCTACGGCTACGGCTATGACGGCCCTGTGGCTGTGGCTGGCTGTTCTCCCTTCTGCAGAAGCCACGTTGCTGACTCAGCCACACCCTGCCAAGCGGGCCGAAGTTGCCGGCTTGCGACCAGGTCACCAGCCAGGTACCGCCACACTTGGCCGGCCGGGTATGACCATTTCCCGGTGCGGGTTTTTGCGGATGACCACGTCGGCTGGCCAATCATGTATACGTCATTAGGTGAGAGAAACAAAACCGTCAACATAACCAAGATCGTTATATATTGAAATCACGTCAAGCAAATCAGTCCGATAGGCTCACCGCAAGAAGAGTTGGACGCAGTCAATAGACACACATGGGGCAATCAATCATCTAATCATTAAAATTGTACACATTTTCGCTTTCCGAGTCACATCTCAAAACATTAAGGTAGGATAGGTCAACCGTAACTGAGGCAGAGGCATTATGTAAGAAATTTGAACTGGAGGAAACGCTATATATACCGTCGCAATGGCATGTCTATTGGTTGTAACTGTCATTCCGGGGCTCTGGAAGAGTCCCAAACGTTCATAGTCGGCGGTGTTCATTCACCTTCAATACTCTTTGGTTGCTGGGAGAGGAAATGTGGTGGTCCCCACTTGTCAATGGGAGAATCAGTCGCACTTGTGCCACCGAAGGCATCCGGAGGAGCATTGTAGACTGTTGGGCTCACGTCAGAAAGACCAGTGAAACTTCCACGGTTCGACGAAGGGTGCGGATGTGGAGGTGGACTTCCGCTACTACTGCGGAGGCTTCCATTGCTCCCACCCCAGGCACCACGCCGGAGCCTCAATAACGCGCTGAGCGTCATTTCATCCTCGATACTCCCCATGTCCACCAGCTGGGCCAGGCCAGGGCTCGACAGTGGATTCGAGTGCGCCGCTCCGTGAGCGGCTAATGAGATGACCGAATTGCGCGTACTCCACTCGCTTCGTTCGGTGATGGGTGTTAAACTGGGTTCCCTGAATTTGCCACGGCTGCTAAAGCTGCGAGTAATACCTTCAATCCCGCGTGGTCCAAAGTACCCGCCATTTGTGAGCTCTGAGGTACAATTACCATAGGCCTGTGCATAAAATCCGAATTCCTGGCCGTAAAACCCTTCGTCATCATTCTCCAACGCCTCCGCGTTAGCAGCGGCGATGATGGGGTCATCGTAAAGAGCAGCATCATTGTCATCATAATCAAAATCCTCAAATACGGACTCGACGCCTACTGCGTCGGCCAGCTGGCTCAGGCGGCTGTCGTCTGACACTAGCCCCGAATGAGAATCCACAGTCTGCGTGACGCTTTCATGGCCCAGAGATTGTTCACTAACACTGATGCTGCGTCCAAATCTGTCAGTAGTGGCTGAGTCATTGGCTGCTTTGGCCAGAGCATTGTGCAGTGCCTCTAGGTTGTGTTCCGACAATACACCCCCATACGACTTCGCTGGCCCCACGTCGGGTAGTACTTCCTCCTCATGGCCGTACCTCCTGGGGACCACTTCTCGGTAGTCACTCGCCATGCTTGGAACATGCTTAAGGCCGCCATCGTGTCCGGGTAGTCCATCATGTTCATTCAAAACATCTCCAATGCCAGGGTTTGGCTCCTCCTGCCGAAGAGATGCGGCTCTTTGGGCTGCCGGCTTGCGATCATACAGGTGACTTGTCTCATCATCGAATATTGATTCATCAAATTTTTCGCCTTCGATATCAGCAGCGAGATCGCCAAACTCTCCATCGTCAAAATACAAGTCATCGTCGTCCTCGTCAACGGCTAGTTGTGAGGTATTCAGATGAGCGTTAGTTGCCATTTGTGGGGCCACCGACAAAGGCGCAGTCTGCGGCTGCGGCAAAGTCTCTGCTTCATGGTCGGAGAGTGATTCGTTGTTCAAATGCACAGCTGCAGGATCACACATAGAAGAGCTCTGGCTCCTCTCAGGCTCAGGAGCCAAGACTTGGTCACCTTGAGCGTTCGGGAAAGGAGCCATGCTCGGGGCATTGGGACTACTCGGACTAGCAATTACCGGGGACAAGCCAGGGGCAAGCCAGGATTTGTTCAAGATGTCCCCCGGCCCGGAAAAGTCCTCGAAGTCATATTCCTCATCTGCATCAACATTGACGCCTGGAATTTTTTCCTCCAGGTCATCCATGTCGTCTATAAGATCATTATCAAAATCGTCATCTGCATCGCTAAATTCTCCGTTGAGTCGGGCTTTGGCCCTTCGTGCAGCTTCCTTCTCTTTATGTTTTTCTTCCAAGAGCTTTTCTTGCGTTGAGGATTCCACACCATTCATATCAAAGCTGAATCGAGACGCGTTACTCTTGAGATGTTTTGGTAGCCCCAATGGTTGATGTGGTACTATCTCGACGATGTCTGCATCCAGTGGCGCGGCATCATTTGTCGGTTCAACGTCTTGGCATTTAGTAGAGGCATTGTTGTCGGTAGCATGAGGTTCTCTACCAGGGTCTGGTAGGCTCGATGGTAGGTTCCGGGCAAAGACAGGAACAGACTTCGCATCATTCTCATGATGGGTTGGGTCGGTTAACAGGGAGGACTGCAAATAAGCTTTATTCTCAACCTGGAGTGCTTTCTGGTCTTCCTCAAAGTGCTCTCTAAAAACAGGAGAGTATTCACTATGTCTCTTTCTCTGGTCATTCACAGGGACTGTCAAATCATTAGTATAACCCTGTGTCCCGTTGGCCGTCTGGGACGGTTCGTGCGAACTATGTCGGTTAGACACGCCATGTAGTAGAACAGGTGCTGCGGACAGGTTCCGACGAGGTCGAGGAGCGGAGAAATCATGAACGATGTTTCCACGTATTCTGGGGTCATAGTCGTCTGGTATGGCAGGGATTACGTTACGGGCCCTGATGTTCGCATCCTCCGCCCGGCCCGCTACCTGGGAAGAACGTCTTCTAGCCAAGAGGGACATGGGGTTCAAGAGATGAAGCATCGCCTTCCCCGATTTGTGGTGGACAGGTTCTGTAGAAGCATCCCGATCCCCTTGCCGGCGGCTAATTGTACTCTCCTGTTTGTGGTCCCTTCGCGGTGTTATTGTCCTTTCGGTGGCGTATTCATCAGGGGGTGCCTTGGAGCGAAAATGGCCTAATTGCGCCATGTCGGGGGTAGATGAACGCTTCAGATTACTGGCGGAGGATTGTGAATGGGAGTTCAACAGTCCTTTTCCGAATGAGAGCCGGAAGGGTGAATTCGGCTTAGATGAGTCGCCCTCGCCATGGTCCGGCCGTGAACCAGGGAAGGATCGCTGCGAGTAATTCGATCGTGGTGTTAGGGATAAATCTCTTTCTCGTTCTTCGGGACTTGAATGGAGGCGAACATCTTTATCGGAGGAGGAGGACGGTACCGCAAGGGTGGCGTAAGAGGACGGAGCATTGATCGCAGCAGCAGATACGGCGACATTGTCTTTGCTCAAATCAATTTCCGCATGATAATTGCTCGACACCTGGGTATCTGGTTCTTCCGAACTGAACGTAGTCGGCAGTGCCGTCGAAGTAGGGATGACTGGGAGCTGCGGAACGTTGCTTGCGCCATTAACCCTCGCAGAAGAGGAGACGGGGGGAGCACTGGATCGGCGATGATCGCGGCGCCAGTATGAGAAGACAGTAGAAGGCGGCATGATGAGAGTTGCAGTCCAAGCTCATAAGCACCCACGGTGCTTCTAGAAGAGCGCGCGCTCTGTTTAGAAACCACAAAATTCTTCCATAACGCTTGCAATTCTTTTTCGCACGCACGCTCTGCGGAGAAGATTACCACCAGGTTGCGTGGGGCAAATTAAATTGGACTGTCTCACACGGGCTCGGGCGGTGCAATGCAATGTTCACCACTACGTATGTCGGGGTTTGTCACGAGAAACAATGAGATGTTTAAAAATAGTAGGGTAGTTTAAGTATAACTAAGATAAGAGTATGCGCCAGTATGTAATGTAGATCTGCGTTGATAAATGGTCAAATCAATGTCAGATGCTAAGGCAAAAGGGGGTAAATGGAAGAAAAAAGGTACGTCAGGGACGGGAACAATGTCGCTGTCCTTCCGAATGCGGACAACCTGGGCCCTAACCCGCTTTTCCTTCACTGAAAGAATGTCCCAATGACACGCCCATGGAATTCAGCTGATGCTCAAATGCAAAAGAACAAAAAGAAAGGAAAGAGTTCTCAGGGGCTCCGGATATGGTCTCGTTCCAAACGGGCCTGAATTGGCAGGCACTGAAAGCTTGGCATCCTTCAAGCTATGATAAGGATCCCCGGTGCAGGCCCCCGTCAAGGATAACAGAGCTCAGAAACAACAGCATCGCGCCAGATCATTCGCCTTGATTACTGAAGAGTAAAATGAAAATGAAATACTATACATACTTGCAATGCAATGCGTTCGCTAATCTACAGGACACCGCAATGACCCATGCTTCCAATCATCATAAATAACAATATGCGCTCAAGAAACCTATCCATCCTTCAACCAACGCAGAACGAAAATTAACGATGTGGTAATGGTAAATAAGGAAGTAAGAAGTAAAAGGACGGCCTTATACTATACTCTGTCTCCATCGGTCAATCATCTCACGCTGGCCCGTCTCGACGCCTGGTCGTACGGGCTTATGCGGCGCAACATAGCTCAGATGATTCATCCCCAGTATAGCATCGCTGTAAAATGTATTCGGGTGGGCTGGTCCATATCCAAAGGAATCGGTCCTTGCAGGTCCTTGGTATTGGGCAAATCTCGATGGCACCGGCTGTCCGGGGTGCGCCGAGAATTGGAGAGACATGCGACTATCGTAAGGAGTTTGGTAGGTCGAAGTACGATGCAATGGGGCCTCCCTGGAAATTGGTCGTCCTCCAGGGGCCGGCCGTCGGGCATGAAGTAGGTCCGCCATACTTCTTCGGTACCTGGGCACCTTCAGAGTCGAATTTCGTGACTCCGCTTCCTTCTGAAGACGTGCTCGGCGTTGAGCCAAGGTTTCCTCTTCTGGCGCTCCCTCGTCTTCTTTCTCCTTGTCGTTACCATTCATGTGGTCAACCTCCGCTAGTATCTCGTCGGCAAATTCACTTCCTGTTGCAGATTTACGGCGGTCGTTACCCTTCAAGCGCTTCAAACGATCGGCCAGGGTCTCCCCTTCGTCGCCACTATCACCCTCAGCGGGCTCCTGTACATTCTGCGTGTACATGGTAGTCGGACGGTTGTCTGGGCTGCGTGGTGGAGGAGGTGGTGGTTCACCCCGCAATCTCGCGCGGCGCCTGCTCAAGGGCTCGCTTTCTTCTAATTCGCGCCTCTCCATGAGACCCAAGGGCCTGTTATCATCAGTAGCAGTAGCCTTCTCGGGAAAAAGCATTCCGAGGGGCACATCGTCATCGCCATCATCGTCTGGCTTGTTAACATCGGGACCTTCCCAAGCAAGGGTAACAGGCCGATGTCTTCTATGTTCACTCTGCTTCTGGGCAACAGCATCAAGCTGGAGAAGCGTTGAATGCAGTCCTACAGAATTGACAGCAGTCCGCTGTCGTTGCCGCAGCTCGTGTTTTCTCATTTCGAGTTCCGCTAACAAGGTAGAAGGAGGTCCTGTAAATGGAACCTCTTGTTCGTTGCTTTCGTCTTCCTCGTCCTCGTGGGGATCATGCTCAGCATCATCTCCATCACGAGCGCCTTCACGTAATGAAGTACCCTCATGCATGTCTGCTGCATCGGCTTCTGTTTGGTGGTACAAGTGATGTGAGGCGAATGAACTTGCCCTGGCATCCGAGTCAGAGGAGGGATTGTCGACTCTGAGGGTACTCCTTGACATGTGTTTCTTCTTCTGCGCCGCCAAGTCTTTAGATGATGCCTTGTTGGCGTACACTTCTGAACCGACAGCGCCAGCGTACGGATGGTCTGTGAAGGCAGTAACCGGCGCATTTGTCGAGGCATCGAGAATGCTGTCAAGCGTCGCAACCGCGGAAGACTGTTTGACTTCTACGTCAAGTGGTGTGGGGGGTTGTTCAAAGAAAACACTAGCACGAAGCTGCGGAGGCAGATCCGCTGGCTGCTTCTCACGCTTGGAATCTTTTGTATCGCCTAGAGCCTGATCAGACAGCCAAGGAGCCGATTTTCGGTTTTCAGCAGTGACTGATCCAAGCAACTGCGTCCGACGCTTTTCTTGTTCAACGGTAGGCTTCTGTGACAGCCGCGGTGGCAAATTAAGCATCATCGGCACCGGAGCAGGATAATATACCATATTCTCGCCGGTCTGCGGCTCCTTGTACGACTCCGGTCCGCTCGCCAGAGGCGGCCTTGTCAAAGATACTTGTCGCCCAAGCTCTAGGCTTTTATCGTGGGGAACATAATGCACACCATCAAAGTCGGTGAATAGAACCCTGGCCTGTTGAAAGGTGTCCCCTGACGCAGCCGAGGATGGTCGTTGAATTTCATCCGGGATGTGGCTATACTGGCCATGGTAGGCAAAGTCGGGCTCTGCGGGAGCAGGTGGTTGTGGAGGGGGGTTAGAATCGGTAGAAACGTGCATCATCGACTGGGAGAATCTTTCCTCGGGCATATGTTCGGAAACTTGGGCTAATCGAGAGGCAGACATAATCGACCCTTGGCTGGATGGTACTGTTCCCTTCATGGGGTTGCTTTCACGGACGGAATTGGAGACTGAGCTGACCGAGCGCCTCTTCTGTTCACGATCCATCTTGCGGATTTCGCTGCCAATATCCGCCGAGCTGGAGCTAAGTTGTTCGGCACTCCTTTCCAGCCTCTCTACATTATTCAAATAGGCACCTTGTAGCGATTGAAGATCTGGGGTGGGATGGCTGAGAGGAACAGGGGTATCGGTGATCGGAGATCGCAGGGGAGGTTCAGGGGAGCCGGCGTGGGCAGCTCTAGTGTCTAGCGGCGCAACGCGACGGAGACTATTAGACCTCCGGTTTGTCGGAGGATCGGCGACGTCGTAGTCATCTTCCTCAACCATGTCATAGCTTGTGGAGGTCATGGACCGGATCAACGAACCTAACCGGCCCATGCTAGAATCCTCGGCGGTTTTGGCTGGCTGCAGATAAGTTCCTCCGCCAATATGATCGGCATCTAAAGGAAGTTGTTGGAAGGTCGATTTGTGCGGCGACGAGCTTCGGGAGACATCAGAATCGGTCGCGTTGGAAGCCACCTCGTGGTCGGTTTGAGAAACAGCGTTGTACGCCATTTTGATATGTGGTTGAGGATGGCAGGGTGCAATCAAGGGCCATCAAGAGAAAAGGCACTCTGTCGTGTGATCCACCCAAAAAAAAAATTCCCAAAAGAGGGGAAGGTTCTTAGGGGCGTTTGGTAGCAATCAGGGAGAGATAAGGCGGGAGAGGCCTTCCAAGACAAAGGTCATCACAATCAAATCGGACGTTAGGGATAGAAAGGAAGGGAAAGGGAAATTTTTGAGACACAAGAGAAATAAAAGGAGAGAACTTAGAGGATAAGCAGGTGTGAAAAAGCAAAGAGAGAGAGAGAGAGAAACAAGAAAAAGAAAAAAAATAACTTGGAAAAGTAGGATGAGGATGACGGATTCAGATTAACTACCAAAGACGTACAAAACAGGGCATGAGAGTTGGGATCGCATACATACTGTACAGTACCATACTCCTGGATGGTGAACGGAATTGGTTAAATCCAGAGGGATGAAGTAGTACGTACTAGGTACAGTACTCTGTACTGCCTGTATGTACCTATTTTTGTTTTGTATGGTCTGTGGAATGTATTAACCAACTGGAGGTCCCCCTTATTAGACCCTTAAAGTATAGGAGGAATATGTATTGTCCATTCTTGTCATGTTTCCACCGTTGGTTCCTTTCGCACTTTTTAATTTTCTTGAATTATTTTTTTTCTTTTCTAGGTGAGCTAAATTTGGATCATGGGGAGAAACAGACTAAATTATCCGCCACCATGTTTACAGGCAACCCTAATTAAACTAGTAGCCTGATAAAGACAGACATTTTTCATCACCTGCACTTTAATATGCAAAAAGGAAATTTATCTCGAATCGTAATACTAATTTCCAATCCTAAAATTATCTTGACAGTCAATTGCATTCACACGCATCAAGCTTGTCAGCTTTGCAGGAACTACCTGCTTGCAGATGATGAATATTTGTAAGAACTTGATACATCAAACAGCCGACGCCGGATATAGCAACCACTCAAATTCAAATCTACCATCAAATCTGGGTCAATAAATCAATAATCGACTCCTGAGTTGATGAGCTGAGAGTGCACAATTTCATTAGCACAACCATTAATTACTATTAAATGTCTTATCCTCATCCTCCGCACTACACTATCGAACTGCGCCTCGGTCCGTCCTGCAGGACGATTAGTGAGAATCTTCAAATCGAAGTGCTAGTAGTGTCTTACCGGTTTTGTAATGTGACAGCTAAGCATCTAACAGATCAAGGCGCTTCATATATAAGATGAATTAAACTCAAGAGTACAATGTCAATGACACTGGTTACAGACTACATCTGAATCTCTTGGAATGTTCCTGAATGCAATAAATCCACTCGATAGTAGCGTCTTGGCGTTGGTGATTGATGGAAATTCCATGTTCTAGACCCTTTCATACGTGAACTTGTGTATTACTTGACTCCACTGTACCTTTTCAGCGGTTCCGTTTTCAACACACTCTTACAGCATCAACAATCATGTTGTAGAGATTCCAAGAGAGGTATACATAAGTCTTGAAATAAGACTACTTATTGCTTATATGGAGAATGAGAGACCTTACTGGTATCTACCAGAAGTTTATCATACAGTATATGCAAGGGTCTCTTGTTTTCCGCTTACCAGTACATCCATGTCCACACTATCCGATTACTAGTGGCATTAAGGTGCTTACGAGGTGTATCTTCGTTTTACACAGTATATTGTAAACCATGAGGTATGTACATGTCTATTCAAATATAACGATGCAACGGCATCAAACATGTTCTTCAGCAATCTGTTTTGTCTTGCAGTGGACTGATAAGCGGGGCGTTACTGATGGTACTTATCCAGGCGACGTTTCCATCCTTAGTCGACCAAGTCCCAATTCCACGGTACTATCTCGATTGTATCTGTTTGTCCTTGGCTAGTGAGTATCCACTTACGGTCTACATCGTATCGCTAGTCATACTTCCATTGGGATAGTCAGGATGGATAGGATAGTCACATCGAACTATGAGCGCTCGCAGAATGGAACATCAAAGCCGCTATCAGGACAATGTACAGCAACTAAAAAGATCATTCAGGTAGATATAAAGGTAAGCTACAACAGCGGTAGGTAACCACGATTGAGCCTGTAACACACACACTAAGCAGCAAGACCATAATATCCTGAGTTTGTGACCTGGGCGGCATTAGAAAGGAATGCCTAATGTGCCATACGGTACAAAGTAGCCCATAGAATACTTTGAGGGTGCTGATATTCCTCCTCGGGTATTAAGAGAGCGCACAGATTTAGCCCGATTGAGCTTCTAAAGCAGGAGAATACCCTGTGAGGGGCTGGCTGAATAGCCTTACAAGGGATTGGATTATGGCTATAATGGATTTCAGTACTCATATTTAGTTTTGAAAGGGGGCAGGTTGTGTTAAGAAATACCTCTGATGTATCTCCCTCGGGGCATTTCCGTCATGTTATGCAGGGTGACAGGAACATATTATACGTACTGTTTCTATGATATAGATAAGGTCAGGGAACAAATCTGAGTATGCAAAATAAACTTTGGATATGTACAGTTCCTGCTGTTTCCCTATATGGAGTGGACTTAAACTAGAGAAAAGCCGTGAACTCCCAGAAGGATATTTATATATTTTCGAGGCCCCAAACCTAGTAGCACGACAATGACGTCACCGGAATCAACGAAAGATGACATCTGAAATCCTTCTCTACAACGAAAAGGAAACAGGAGAAGTCAATAGGTTAAAGACCAAAAGTTAAATATTACTGCTGTGCATGTCAAGCTACGAGGCTCTTAAAGTACCCTCTAAAAACGATAACGGCACACGTGACATCGCGAAATGCGGGACGCGCCTCAAAGTGACAGGTGACTTCAAGAAGTGAGGTCGCTGATCAGGTTCAAATTCTAGATTAAGAGACAGTTACACAATCCAACTCCTTCGAAATGTCATACTATGATATTGACTCTATCTTAACAGATGCCCAGGTACGTCACGAAAATCTACACGTACCAGTTGGACGTGTTTTTAATGTCTCACGGTGATAGAAATTGCCCTGCACATTTGAACTCGAGGTGCCAGGGCTTGGCATTCTAGAAGGCAATCCGGGCGACAATGTAAGCTTATGATTTGGATTACAACCAACGAGGATGGCCGTGGATTGACAACATCAGATCAAAGCTGGTACTCGCATCGACCTCCCATTATGGCTGGGTGAAATGCTCTCTATCGGGTGAGATCTGAACAACCCCCAAACCCCCAATCAGACCGTATCTAAATTAGCAAAGAGCTCGACTGGGCACTTCTCGTCTAGTCACACTAGATATCCCTTCAGCATTGTCAGAACGGGTCATGAACGCCTTAAAAGCAGACCCTCGGACTGTTGATCTGCGGGCATTAGCGCCGCATTTCTATAGTTTGAGTGAGCGAGTTTTGGAGCTTTTTGAGGAGGAAGAGATGGTCGATGTTCTTATTAATGTCTGTTCACCCCCGCACATCCGAGGAATAAGGAGGAGGAGGAGAAGGAGAAATGCCTTGGCTAATAACTCATATAGACATTCAAGAAGCGCGCCTCAGAGATTGCTGACCATGCCCACAACCCAAAGGGAGCTCTTGGTGACGGCGTTGAGTTTCTGCGGGGGTTAGATGAAACGGAGAGGCAGTGTACGTGGAAACCAACTCTACAGCTTACAACCTTCTGGCTTGTTTCTAATCACTCAGTCTAGTGTTCCGCGTGGCCCATGATAGTGCCAAGGAGACACGGATATGGGCTGGGGAGGCTAAGAAGAGGTAGTTCGAGGGGGAAAAGTATCACCGTCCAAATTTAACAGATTGAGCTGTGCTCGTCATATGAGCTATGTTTATTCTTTTGCCCGGGACGCTAGTCATGTGCTTAGGGCTTGCTGTGTTGGTGGAGTTATATGGAATTGGCACTCGCATAGAAAGGAGCTTGCGAGCTATTTTGCTTTTAAGTAGACTTAAATTTAACAAGCTTCATGGGCGTTTTATCTTAGCCACATACCTTTGAGGATTATCAGTGTGTACTCTCGATCGAAACCCTAGACGGTTACAAATAGCCGCAAACTAGCAATGTGGGCTACATATGCGTACTACAGAGGCAGGGGGGTGTGCACTGCAGTCCGAAACTATATACTGTAGTATGAAGTCGAAGAGGTCTGCCGGGCCATTAGGAAAGGCTAACTTTATATGTTCCTGATTAATGCGGTGGAATACTAGTTACTGCACAGGAACATCTTGTACAAGGTTCAGAACCGACCGAGTAAGATTAGGATTGCTTTTGGCGGTGTAGCTGGAAGCGAGACGCGGGCATCGTGGGCTGATCCTTTCTGTGGGGCTTTGTTTACATAGCAACTTAGTAGCTTCTGGTTGTCGGGACTGCAATGGAGTAAGTATCTTGAATTTGTATCTATATTTCTTGGAAGCGTTCCAAGAAGTATTGGGTGGGGTCATGAGGAAGTTGCTTGTTTCTTGTGGGATGTTGACGTTTGCATTCTTTTTCCAAACGGTCTGCTAAGGTTAAGAAGATCAGCTGGATGGTCGATGGGCAGGGGGTTGAAACGGTTGGTATGGCAAGAAGGGAAACCTTCCACCATTGAACTAACAACTACTAGTACTACTTTAGTTAGTCCTTAGTAGTAGTCAAGAGTCCAGCCCTTGCGACAGTTGGAGGATTCATTAAATGGAATCTGCAATGCTCATTGGTGAGCGATGAAACAGCCGAGGGATGTGGCTTTCCGATTGGTCTCTTTCTTAGAATGAACCCCTTCAACAAGACTGCGTTGAGTTAGTAGGAAAGGACGATCAACCGACGGTGGGACTACCGTAAGGTCCCGACTATGCCTTTAGTGGTTTTAGTGCTTGTCTTTGCCGGGGGACCTATCACGCTTGTTGATTGAAGACTAGACGATGACTTGGGGTTGTTGAGAGGGATTGAACATTCGACACATTCTTGGATGAAAGAAGAGAGTGCGCGAGAGATAGAGAGATACGGAGGAATGAACAGGGAATGCAACTAGCCAGCAATCAAGTGTCAAGAAGGTGTCACAACATTCAGTTCCAATCCTCTCCACAATTTCAATTGTTGTCGCATGGTAACCGGACATTCCCAACTGATCCATGGATGGGGGGGAAATAAGGGTAATATCCCGTTCGCAGAAATAAGACTAACCAGAAGGAGAGTTGTAATGGGATCGTGCAGCGTGTGGGGATTCTTTTTTTTTCTTTACCTACTCTTTCTCTCCGTCACCCTCCTTTCTTGGCTGTGACGATCGACTCGTCATACCTTTTCCCGTCACATTTTAATCTTTTCTCCTCTCTCCCCTCACATCTAGAAAGTTACGTACTTGCCTCGCTACCATTTCTTTTGCGCGGTGCTTTCGCTGTGTGCGCGTTGTTACCCTGCCAATTCCCTGCAGCTCCTACGATTCACGAGAACCCATCCTCGACCTGTATCTCTGCGCCAGACTCCTCGCATCGCCACTCGCCCAATAGGGAGTGTGAACTTAGCTCATTTTCTCACTCGACCTGTCGATTTAAATCTCCGCCTTTAATGAAACGCGCGCATTAGGTGGACATAGTCGCACTGTTCTCCTGCACTCTACGTTCGTGTCGTGCATCTTGTCAATTATGCGCGTTCGGTAGCCGAGTTCGTCATCTAGGGATCTCGAACCGGCATGGACAAATCACCCCAAAGGCGAAGCACCACCTCGGTGCACTCAACCACCCCTTCGTCATTGCGAAATTGCCTATACCCTTCCCCGGCCACGGCTCTCCCAACTGGCCATACGCCCCCAAGACAGAGTCCGGAACTGAAGAGTTGGTTAACCCAGCCTCCCCTCCCTTGAATGATTCAAGGGATACCAGACTTCACAACCGTATACTAACTATTCACTTGTTCCTTCAAGGTAACTCTCAATCGCCAAAACCTGCAGCGCTCACTCGGGTCAAGAGACGGATTAGGATGGATACTCCGTCACAAATGAATACTGGTACGATTTTTGAAGGCTGCGGGATATTCAGGTGATGCTAATGTGCCATACAGAAATGTCATGGCCGCATGATCTGTCTTCTGTGACCGGCTCGCCCAAACCGAGCTCGCAAACCTCTAGATCAAGTATGTTTGCAATGTGATTGTTGTGCAATCAACAGATCATTAGACATATTCATGTCTCATACACAATATCTGGAATACTAACGTGATGGTTCTCCGTAGAAACCCCCGAAACTGGATCAACATCGCTGGTGAACCCATCCTCCTCTCTGCTACAAGACCTGTTGAAAGAGCAGCGTGCGACTCGGGGGTCGCGTGGCACAACTTCAGAAGACACGGACGACAATGGACCCCGTACGCCTCGTACGCCAGGCCGTTCCCGCTCCAACTCTCAGGCCCAGTCACAGGAAGAGCCGGGCTCTGATCGGCAACGAAAGATCAATAATGCTCTGGCTGTGGGTCTAAAGCAACCCCGGGAGATGGGGATGCGAGAAATGGACCAAGTGAGTGGCGCCATGGTAGCTTCTACCATGATCCTGCAGTCACTAATAGAATGATAGTATATCTCGAAGATGAACAAGCAGAACTTTGACTTGAAACTCGAGATCTTTCACCGTGCCCAGCAAATGGCGGCAATGGAAAAGAAGCTTGAGCGGATGTTGGAGATGGAAGAAGAGCTCCAACGCCTGCGGGATTTAGAGGACGAGCTACAGGAGTTGCGGGATGCCGAAGAAGACAATCAGAGGTTGCGGGAGTCCAACGAGCAATTACGGCAGGAAATTGATAAACGAGACCAGGCTGTGACAGAGGCGGTAGAATTAATCTGTCAGCTCGAAGCGAGAGTGGAGGAGCTAGAAGCAGCCGGAGATCATTCTAGACCTTCTACAGCCCGACCTTCTACGCCTGATGGCCCAGGCCCAGCTATTGAAACGCCCAAGTCTCCTACGCCTGTGGATATCCCAGAACGGATATCCTCAAAGAGAGGTGCAACTTTTGGTGACCAGCATCGCCGAAGGTCTTCGGGTACACGCCATCTCAAGAGAGCACCGTCGTTTCTCCTTCACGAGAACCAAAACACGGCGGCCCTGCGAAGTGTCTACAATCCTGCTGACGAACAGTCTCGCTCCGAAATGAGCATACTTACGAATTCCGAAAGCCTCCACTCCATGAACGAGACCGGCGAACCTGATTCCCCGAGGCTTAGTGCACTGAGTGAATGTAGTGAACTGCATATAGGAGATATCACTGGGGCGTGTAATGACTTTGATGAAATCGAAATACCTGTTCGCAAGAGAGCATCGACAGCGCAGAGTTCCATATTCTCACCCCTTACGAGAGAAGATCGAGAAAGGGATCGGTTACGTTTTAGCTCATGGACTCCGCCGAAGCCAGATATCGATCCAGAAGGCACTCCGAGAATGAATATTCGGCCTGTGCTAGATGTTTTCAGAGACACTGATAAGCCAAGCTTTGAAAGCATCTCTTGCGATAATAGCTCTAGTCAAAAGACACAGATTGACAGCGTTTTTGGAAGTTCTAGGCTACCTCCTACCCCTGACACGATGAGTACCGCACATGCATTCGGAACCAACCGGTCCAACGGCAGCGCTACGGAGAAGAGCCAGGTTGATCAGATTGCGGTTCTTAAGCGGGGACTTCGCCGTCCTCGTTCCGCAGACGAGCTGACCACCAGGCAAAGCTCCGGCAATAGCAGGCTGACTGATGGTACAGATACCAACATTAGTGAGGTTATGCACCCACCGCTTAGTCCCGACGAACGAGACGAAGCTCCTGCTATATTTCCCTTGGATAGCATATCATCAAGGACCGGCTACATGCAAAGCCAGCAGCCAGTCCATGGGTCGAACTTTGGCTACTATGGAAACGGAGTCCTGTTCAACCGGGATGATCTGGAACATGTTCTCTCGAAGATAGACAACAACTATTACTCGTCACCTAAGTGCGATGAGGCTGAAGAGCCCGCTTTGGATGCACCATCTATATCACCGCCCCTTACCCCTCAAGATTGGGTGGAAGCAGCGAAATCCGGTAACCCCACTGGGAAGACTCGTGCCCTCGCCCCGGCTATTGGCCCTGTTCCTACCAAGTCTCGACCAGGTGGTACTAGAGCTCCAAGCCAGTCCTCATTCCTTGGGCGTCGCCATAGCGTTGACTCGACCGTGCCGGACCTTCCGATTATACCCACGCTTGATCTAGGCTCCCTGGAACCTGTTCGCCAGCCTGAGCCGGACCCAGAACCTCGACGAAAAATCAGTTTCCGGCCTCGGTTTTTTGGAGGCTCAAAAGCGACCCGCCGTCTCCAACCATCACCCATTCCTGATGCCACGAATGAACAGGATGGAGCACCCTCTCCAATCATCCCCAAGATTAGACAAATGGGCCCTTCGAAGTCGGCCAGTACAAATCAAAACGATTATTCGCCCACATCCTATGACAACGGCCGTACACCTGCCCTTGCATATGCCGATACAAAGGGTGACGATATGCGCAGAACCCTTCCTCATTCATTTACAGATTCCAACATGCTGTCACATAGTACCGTAAACAGGCCACCCTCGTCTCACGGCAAAGGACACAAAAGACGGAGCTCACTTGGAATCTTCGGCTGGATGAAAGGGGCCAGCGGTTTTGGGTCGTCCCATAAGAAATCTGAACCTGATTCCTCTGCGATGTCCACGCAGTCCAGTTCGTCATTCAAGGACAGAACCCCCTCCCGTTTAGCCTATGAATTTCCGGTTGCGAGCACTGAGGTCAGGGATGCTCATTTAGCTTCCATGAATGTTGCCGTTGAAGACTTCGCGTCTAGTACGAAGCGGATCTCTTGGGTAGAAGAAGAGACAGCCCGACGGCCTAGATATGTGGATCGTCGCCGTCGAATTTAATCTAACCTCGAGAGACCGTGTACACGATATACAACAAGAAACGCAAACCGAAAAATCAGCATCCATTATCTCTTCACCACTATACGGTCTACTCTAGTTCTTTTGTTTTAATGCGTCACGATACCCCACGAGTTATAGTCTAACAGATGGCATGGATTGTACAAGTATTTGCATAGCATTCGTGTCTGAGAGGTTAGGAGTCACTGTCTGGATTTCTTATGTCTTTTGGTGTCTGGTTGGTACGAACTACCGTTGTCTATCCTTCCTTCCTTCCTTTGTAATTTGTCCTCTCTTTATCCCACTCTCACCCCAGTCACTCTCTATGAATTTCCTTCATGTCCTATTTCCTACAGTGGTTTGCATATCCAAGTGATTTTTGAATTGCGATGACTGATGTTCAATTACGTTTGCATCTTGGAGGGGTCCTCATTCATTAGCATCTTTTGTGTTTTGTCTTGTATTATCGATTTATTATTGTTATTTCCCCCCCCCCCTTTCTGTTGATTCCCTTTTACTTTTTATCTCTTCGTTTCGAGAAAGTCGTCTATCTTATGAAGTTATGTATGAGTTTCAATTCGCCTCTTCCTATTATTGCCATATAAACTATCATGCTGGTTCACGAGTCGGCCATTCGAATCCAATCTATATAAATCCGTACAATTTATCCAACCAAACCCATCCAGCCCAAACTCCTCCTCGAGTAAACTACAGTACAATACAAAAAGTCACCCCAAAAGACCCCTCCCCTTTTCACCGCCTATAACGCCCAAAGCAGAGTAGAAATGAAGAACCTCAATACCAAGTATTCCCAGCTTCGCCCAGCTTCTTCCCCTTGGGATTCATTGAAAGAATCCTCTGCCCAGGCAAAGTGTCATCCGTAATAGCCGACTCAAAGATCCCCGAAATAGCCCTCTTCCCGATCTCCGCAAAAGAATCGTACCCCTTCCCCGCCTCGTCCCCATTTATCGCCGCCCACTCCCTCGACAACCGCGGCGACCGCCCATCTCCCAAATCAGTCCACCGTGTCACGACAATCGCATGCCGGAACACGTTGCGCTGCGAACCACTCCGATCCTCGGTGAGCTTGACCTCAACCAGATACTCGGAGGGACACTCGGGGCAGCGACGCATGGGCCGGCACTTACCGCAGAGTGATGTGAGGGCGTTAGGGTTGTGGATTCGACGGTGGTACATGTCTTTTGCGCGGTGCTCGAGGCCCTGCAGACCGTTTGTGGTGCGGGGGACGGGGATGTGGCCGAGGGCGCATTTGCAGATGTTCATGAGTTCGCCGTCGCGCCAGTGCGCGCAGACGGAGAAATATGGCCAGTAATCATCGCGCGAGTAGAGGAGAAGTCGCTGTTCGCTGACACTGAGACCTGGGTCAGCGAAGCAGGTGCTCACGACCCGCATGAGCAGTCGGCCGTGGTGGATGTGGTATCGGGTCTGGTGGTACCAGCCGTCCCTGCGCCAGCGACGGCATAGGGAGTCAGGTGGGATGCCGTAGCTCGGTCCGAATCGGTATGCGCGCATGACGAGCTGGTGGAAGGTGAAGTAGAGGACTCGACCGTGGGTGATGCGGTGGCGGGGTGCTGGGCGGGCGTGTTGCGGGCGTGGGGCAGTCGAAGAGCGGATTGACTACGTCTGCGGGCTCGAGCTTTTCGCAGCCTTCTTGTGTGCGGCGATGGTATTTGCCGCAGGGGAAACAGAGGAGATGGTGAGGGAGTAGTCTGTCTTGTGAGATGAGGAAGTCCGCCTTGTAGTCGTGGTTTTCTGGGAGGTTTATAGTTATCCAGGGCTCGCGGCCCAGACGAGTGTATAGTGTTCGGCTGGAGAAAGCCAGACTGGCTCTCTCGGCGGGATTGAGATACTCAGCGACCTTGGCCCAGAGGTCTGATGTTAAGCTGGCAATCACGGGCTCGCCTGGCGGTCTGTTGTCGAATTCGTGTAGTTGCACGTTTGGGTCGGAAGGGTCGAGATCTCCCACACCAATCGAATGCAGCATTGCGGTATGATCACGGACTTCGCCTAGCTGTGTATCTTTCTGAAGATTTGCTTCTCGGTATTTGAGTCGGTGGGCCTCCCATGGGGTCAGCGAAGGCACCTCCGGGACGTCATCTTTGCTTGGTAAAGCTTCTCTTAGATTCGGAGCCGATGCCTTCCGGAGGACCTGACGGGATTTCTTAGGTCGGAGAGCGCCGGCGAAGACGCCCGAAAGCCACCGCGCTTTTCTCCAGGGCTTTCAGCGGACATTTTGAGAGAATTGGCCGTTGAGAGTTGAGATGAGAAAGAAGCTCCGGAGAGGGCGGAGGAGTGGATACCAAAAGAAGAAACAAGCTTACCGGAAACTGCGGAATGCGACGGGAGCATGTGATCAGCCACTGTGGCTAGTGCACCAACGGTATTTACGTCCAGTACGAAGTCAACAAGTACGGAGTAGTATATATATATATTTTTATACATACACACGAGGCGTATCCAATTGCATTAGGGCTACAAGTACAGCCTGATCAGACATTACACAATATCACTCTGGACACAACGGAAACAAGGCGCTCATCAAGCTGCGTTAAATCACAACACTTTTGTTTGCACGCTTACGAAAAGCGCTTCTCAACGGCCTTCCAGTTGATGACATCCCAGATGGCGCTGAAGTACTCGGCCTTGCGGTTCTGGTATTGAAGGCTAACCCGGTATTAGTTATTGCCCAGGAGACATTCTGTTAAAGAAAACTTACTAGTAGGCGTGCTCCCAAGCATCGATGCCGAGAAGAGGCTGGAACTGGCCAACGACAGGGTCCTGGTTCTGGTCGGAAGTTAGCTACCTGTATCCTGAGGCGCTCATAAGGAGGAACTTACGGCATAGGTCTTGATTCCGATGTTTCCGGTCTGCTTGTCCTTAACGAGCCAAGCCCATCCGCTTCCCTGAATGCCAGCGAGGGCGGCATTCATCTTGCTTTGGAACTCTCCCAAGTTGCCGAAGCTGTCGTCGATGGCCTTGGCCAAAGCTCCAGATGGGGGCTCACCACCGCCCTGGCTCTTAGGGGCAAGGTTCTCCCAGAAAAGAGTGTGGTTGATGTGGCCACCACCGTGGAAGTTGATCAGGGGCTTGAGGTTGATCTGGGCGGCGATGTCCTCCTTGGCGACAGCCTCCTGGAGCTGTTCGATGGCAGCATTGTAGCTGTTGACATAGGTCTGGTGGTGGTTCTTGTGGTGAAGCTCCATGATCTTTCCGGAGATAGAGGGCTCAAGGGCGCCATAGTCATCTGTTATCCAGTCAACCAACTACTCATTCGCACTGCCAAGATAGAAGAGAAAGAAGATAGAACGGAATACAACACAACAGGCGGGCAAATTGACATGTTCTAGGGAAGGGGGAGAGCCATACAAGCCAGGTCAGGCAGAGTGGCCTTGCCACGGGCAAAGGTCAAACCCGCAACACCCGCAGCTTTGGGAGTAGCCGAAGCTCCAGTGCGAAGAGCGGCACGGGCAGAGGTACGGATAAGAGAGGCAGCCATGGTTGGTATGGATTTTTATGTATCAATGGAATTGAGTTACGTTTACAAAGTAGTGACGAAAAGCAAAAGAGAGGAGAGTGGTAAAGGAGAAGAAGAGAAGAAGAGGAAGTGAGGTGAAAATAACCGGAAGGGAGATTCGATGCAACGAACGTCATTGTTGCTCGGCCCCTCGGACTTGAATTTTCCCCGCGCCGAAATGTCCGATAATCAACTTTCCTTTCTCGTTATCGTGCGGATCTCAACTGACAGCTCCTTCATGGACCTCAAACGTGTCGCTTGACCGTTTCACTGCCTTTCTCCCCTATTCGACCGCTCCGAGATACCGCACACTCCTTATCCTGACACCTGTGATCGGCCATGGATTCAGATTCTCCCCCGGCCTCACCATCCGCCGGCCAAAAACGTAAAATTGACGACATGAGCTCCGACGAAGAAGATTTTCGCCCCACGATGGGCTTTCGCGGGTTCGCTAGAGCATTGTCACGCTCAGAGTCGCCTCCGTCACTTGGTGGTTTAGGAAGCGCTCGTCGCAACCCCTGGAGTAGCAGCACGCAACCAGCTACTCCAAGAGGCGGCTCCAGCAATGGCGGTAAAGGGAGCAAGGGAGGAAACTCCTTCGCCGCGCGCATGATGGCCAAGATGGGCTATGTTGAGGGTCAAGGTCTCGGTTCGAGTGGTCAAGGTATCGTCAACCCGATTGAAGCCCAGGCCCGGCCACAGGGTGCTGGTTTGGGCGCTGTTCGAGAAAAGACAAAGCAAGCCCGGGAGGAAGAAAAACGGGCGGCGGTCTTACGAGGTGAAGTGGTAGAGGATAGCTCAGATGAAGAACGAAAAAGGAGGCAGAAAAAGAAGGAGGCGCGCAAACAGGGAAGCCGGAGCGGCACTGGCACACCAGTACCACGTGCGAAACCTCAATTCCGTACAGCTCGAGAGATGGAGGAAGATATGGCTGGTCTTGAAGTACCAAATGTCTTGAAGTCATTGGTTGATGCCACGGGGAAGGAACAGCGAGTGTTGACTTCTACTGCCGGCTTGATGACTCCGTCCGAATTCGTTAAACCTGGTGAAGGTGAAGCTCTCAAGATCGCACAACGGGCGCGCCATGACCTAGAGGCTTTTGCGGATGAATGGAAAGGCTTGACTGAAAGGAAGAAGTTCATTGATCTAGAGGAGGCGCAGCTTGTGGAGCAAATGGATACACAACAACTCCGTATGGAACAGCTAACAGAATTGGTCGCTGCCATTGGAAGCTTGGAAATCTTCCAAGATGAGAGCACGCGGGGACGCTTTGACGAAGTCACTGAGAAGTTGGAATCCTTGGAAATCAAATATCGGAATGAAATCGATGAATACCGTCTCCCCGAGACAGCTGTTGCGGCCATTCATCCTCTGTTCCGCCAAGCGATGGAGGAATGGGAACCTCTTCAAGATCCGACATACCTCGTGTCAAATCTTCGCCGCCTTCAGCCCCTTCTATCCCGGAAGAAAGACGATCAAAATGCACAGCGACAATCCACTTCACCTTATGAAAGTATGATATACACTTTGTGGCTACCTCGTGTGCGCTCGGCACTCCTGAACGACTGGGACGTTTATGACCCAAAGCCAGCCACTTCTCTCGTTGTCGCGTGGAAAGAGATTATACCACACTTTGTTCTGGCGAACGTTCTCGATCAGCTCGTGGTTCCGAAGCTCACTGGTGCTTTGAAAGAATGGAAGCCTAGAAGCAGCAGCAGACGCCACACTTCCTCACATCATAGTTCTCGCTTCCCATGGTGGCTATTCACATGGCTACAGTACCTTGATGACCGACACACCAACCCAAGACAGCCTACAGGTCTCCTTTCAGATGCGAAGAGAAAATTCCGCGTTGTCTTGGATTCGTGGGACCTCAGAAAAGGCTTGGTCGATGGCATTCAGCTATGGCGCGATGCGTTAGGCTCGGAGTTTGATGTATGTCTACGAAACCACCTCTTACCACGTCTGGGTCGCCATCTTCGTGAAGATTTTGAAGTCAACCCACAAGACCAAGATGTCTCAGCACTGGAAAACATCTTCAAATGGAAAGATTTCTTCAAACCTAACGTCTTCGGGTTATTGTTGGTTGCCGAATTTTTCCCCAAGTGGCACAATATTCTGTATATTTGGCTCACCAATGACCCAAATTACGAGGAGGTCGGCGAGTGGTTCTCCTGGTGGCGAACCCAAATTCCCGAAGATGTCAACGAGCTGACTATCGTCGACGACGAGTGGAAGAAAGGTTTGCGGACCATGGACCTTGCATCTCGTTTGGGTGATCGCGCTGCTGCTGAGCTCCCACCCCCATCATCCACCACTGCAGAGCAGATTCCTGAGGAAAAGCCCCATGTGCCAGCAGAAGCGCCATCAACGAAAGCTCGCAAGCCCAAGATCGTGGAAGAGGTCGCCTTCAAAGACATCCTCGAAACCTGGTGCACAGAACAGGGGCTCATCATGCTCCCATTGCGAGAAGCTCATCCGCAAAACGGTCAACCTCTTTTCAGAATCACAGCAAGCGCTACCGGAAAGGGTGGTGTCGTGGCCTTTATCCAGGGAGACGTTGTTTGGGTGCAGAACAAGAAAGCAAAGGATATTTGGGAGCCGATGGGATTGGAAGATCAGCTTGTGGAGCGTGCAGAGAGCAGATGATATCCCTTACTTTTTTTCTTCTTTTGTTATATTAGCCTGGTCTACAGTTTTGGGCTGGTTTTCACGATACCTTGTATTTAGATATCTACTTATCATGATTACATTGATATACACATAATTATAGAAGTGGCTGAAGACACCTTCAAACCATTGAACAGATCATCCAGCTGCAAGTAAACGCTCGTCAGCCCTAATACAATGAAACGAGACAAGACTCCCATACGTCAAGTCGCGTTACCACACCCAGAGGAGCAATAGATCTCAGACGTAACAGTCGTGAATACGAAGTGAAAGGAATGATATAGTAGCAATGGCATATAGAAGGCTAGGGAGTAACTGTCAAGAATGAAATTGCGCAAGACTGGATAGAGAGCTTTGGAGAAGAGCAATAGGCTCCTTTCTTTTTATCTTTTATATAAGTCACTTATTCAAAACTTCATTCAACAACCAATCCGATGTGGTGTAATGGCTAACATCGCTGTCTCTCACACAGCAGCTCGGGGTTCGATTCCCCGCATCGGAATTATTTTTTTCTTTTTGGTCTCTATCTATCTATCTTCATCTATATTTCCTTGTGATATTTGGGGAGTTCCTTTATATTCTTCTTCTTGCTTGTTTATTTTATTTAGCTTTGTCGTTAATATTTTTAGAGTATGACCTGTATGAACGTCTGTTGGCCGTACTTGAGACTGGCGAACCCTGTCAGACATTGTCGATACATTGTATACACTCCCATACAAATTAAGATAAGAATAACATGAAGGGTCACGAAACCCAACGCATATATATGTACATACACCGAAAACATTTCAACAAGAGTAGAAAGAAAAGAAAAAGGGCCATGATCATCACCAATTAACCACTTTTTTGTATTCAATGGAATCATAATCATTGAGTGCTCCGGTATCCATCAAATATAAAGCCATCCTCTGGGTCCCTTCTGGCCTCACTGATAAAGTAAGCCCCATCCTTTAGCGTAACGTCGTTATGAAGAACATAAGCTGAATACTTCTATCTAACCCTTGTTGTTGTACTTCTCATTGAATGCATTCACAGCTAACACAGAAAACGTTAATATTTCTCGGAAAGAAAGATTCTACGTAAAGAGTGTTGTCACTTACCAATGGCGATCTGACGGTACAGCCAGTTTCTTGAACTCTCATCCTGCACCGGGATAAATGGACCATTAGCACCCCCCTTGAGGGTAATACTCATACCAGTGCGCTCTTTAGAGATTGTTTGGATGTCCGTCAAGCGTATATCCCATTCAACCTGGAGCTTCTTGGTGCGCACAAGCATTATCCGGTCGTATGTCAACATGACCAGCATGTCTCTGCCGGGAAGTTCCAAATGCGCGATATAGTCCTCACTGAAGTATTTACCGTCATCCGCTGTCTTGAGCCAGAACTGACCCAATGCCTCCCGCTGTGAATATGGTCGCACAATGCCGTCTGTTGCAATGAAACGCGTGAGACGAACACGGTCCAGGCCCTCTGCATCAAAGACAGTAGTAGTGTTCCGGACACCTTCAGCAAGATCTATGAAATCGTCAGTAACTGAGATCCGTGGGTCGCACAAGTGCACATACTTGAGGCAAGATCAAAAGCGCCAAGGGCAGGCTTTGTAGCGAGACCTAAGACACCCTTTCCGACACCCTTAAAAAATCCTTGGATACCCTCCTTTTCAGCGCCCTGCAGTGGATGACGTGCGAGTCCTCCGATACCGCTTGCTAGGCTGGTTGCGAATGCATTACCACCAGCTGTGATACCATACAATGCATGTTTCGGCCGGTTTCGAGATTTAGACATCCGCCGCTTGTCCTGGAACTCCTTGTCCAATGTGGCAGCAGCAAGACCTTTAGACATGCTTCCGGTAAGTTTGGCCATGCTGTCGGAGAATCCGAAAATGGACTTCTTAACAAAACTTGTGGCCCCCTTGGCGATACCTAGACCAAGTTCTTGAGGCCTATCAGTCAGAACTAGTCCTTGGTATGGCTCGTAGAAGATCGCGGCAACGCCAGAGCTGACATTATTGAACAATCCAACGGGGTTGCCGAGGAAATCTGCAGATCCAAGGATGACATGCACTTGTCGGAGGAACTCCTGGGTATAGTGTCTCTGAATGTTGCCAACAAGAACTCCAAGCGATACACGAGCATTCTCCAGCATTAGTGCGTTAAGCTGAACAGGTGCATCATTGATGTTGCCCATCGACATGGTCATGACATTGACAACGAACATCAAAGGATTTGATGGTTGCATAGTGTCTTCGGCGTTCACTCGCTCTGTCCGCATGAAAGAGATGTCAAGCTGCATGGGCTGCAGGTGAAGAAGCTCGAAGTAAACATCCTGCCCAGCACCTTCACTTTGAGGCTCCGGGATTCTTAGATCTTCATCACAAAGTTTTCCCTCTTGTTCTTCTGACCATGAGGCACCAGGGACCTTGACAAAGTCCAGCATTGCAAATACAAAATCCTCATCAAGCTCTAGCGTCATTTGTTGCAGAAGCACAGTGGCATACTTGATGTAGAGTACACCATAAGAATCATCTTTCACTCGTGTAATCATGGCGTGGAAAATTGGATGTGCCTCCATTTCTTTTCCGGTCTTTGGAACAACGCTGGGGTACAACAACATGGGGAAAATACCTCCATAAAGCTGATTATCAATCTGGATCCATTTGATTGTGGTATTCAGCGTTTGATAAACCATGGATTCCCTGTACTTAATATCAATCTCGCGGAAGGTCAAGTACAACAGCTCTCTCATGTTCTGATTGATCAAGGAGATGCCAATACCACCAAGGCGGAGTTGAGCTTTGAAGTTAACGTCAGAATCCAACTCCTTAACCTCGAACCCGGTGCTCAGACTGCTCTGAGAGGTCTGTCCTCGTTGCTGTCTATACATGCTCTTTGATGCCTTGAAATTCGACAAGACTAGAGTCTGAGTAGGGCCGTCGGCCACAATATTGATGTCGACAATCTTCTGGTGTTCACCATATTGCGTTGGCGGTATCCTCATTGGTATTAGATTACCGATCTCGGCAAGCTTGATATGCCTTTCTTTTCCATTACAAGTCAGAACGAGAGATTTGTTCTGCGTGGCTGGATAATCCCAGGCATATGGCATGATACTTCGAGGTGGAAGACGGTAGCGGATCGGCCGCCAGCCATTTGTCCTGTCATCCTCGTAATCTTCCACATTTGGATTCTGAGGGGAATTATTAGATTAGTATATGTATTTCATCCCGATTCTTCCAGCCACTTACAGCTTGATAAAATATGAACTCCATGTCGCTCTCGTTCCGCATGGAAAACGGCCAGTTGCGTGTTTCTAGGTTAAAATGCAGGAAGAGAGTTGCATTTTCCATCATAATGTCCACTTTGATGAGTTTCTGGCGTTGATTTGCCTTGGCAAGCTTGACATGCACTGTACCAATGTCTGCAATGTTGAAAGGAGACGACCATTGGTTGTTGACGCCGGGGAAGCACAAACAAAGTTGCTTCTCAGCAACCTGGCGCAAGAAATGCAGAGGTACAAGATCACCGCTCTTGATAGTAAGAACATTGGAAGAACCCTGCTCTCGAACCAGAATATCCTCATCAAGCTTGTTCTTCAAAACGAAACGAGGCGCAATGGTGACAACCTTGGTCATCTTGTATTTGCCTTCACCCTCAGCAACAGTCACGCCGGAATGAAACTCAGATCTACCATGTCTATCTGGAAGGACAACTTCGAATGTACTCCCAATGGCTTCGAAACTCTGAGGCTTGCTCCAAGCAGAATCGCCTATCCTCAGTATGGATCGGTTCTTCTGATCATCGCTTGGATAGGAGTACATGTAAGGGAGCGTTCGTCCACCGTTCCTTGGATCAGCCCTCAGCCCTTGTCCAGCTGCTGATCGAGCCGATTGCAAGAACCCTTTGCTTTGTATTTCCATCGAGAGACCTGTCTTGTTCAAGACGAGATACGGACTGTAGATTGATACCTTGAATGCGCCTCCACTATCAGGCACGTTGAAATAGTGAAGCTTCAACCTCAGTTGGATTCCTCTTTCATCTTTCAAAGGCAATACATGCTCTCTCCTGAAGTCTTGTGCATTGCCGTTGATTATAGCAAAATCACTTTGTCTGAAGACAGTATCCTCCAAGTCGATGCTGAGAAGCAGTAAGTGAGATAGTTCCACAACATGGACTGGGCTTACGCCCCCTTTCCGCAAGAAATTAGTCCAGTCCTTCTTCGTATTCTTATCATAGATGCGATATTTGAAATCGTAAGGGAGGAGATTTTGTATCTCCACAGGGGCAAATATCCGGACACGCATGCAAGGATATGTGCTCGTTACAGGATCCCGTGAATTGAACGTAGCATTCATTTGGAAGTAGAATGGCGGCGCTTGCTGTCCACTCTCACTTATGCATTTTATTGTCCGAGTTGGTCGCCGCATAAGGTCTTTCCAATGTAGTTGCTCGTTCGACCACTCATACCCAAAACCTTGGTCAGGCCGAATAAGAAGAGAATGCATGTATGCAGCTCCCACAGGTGCAGGCCGAGAGTCTCCAGGGAGGATCTTCTCTATTTTCAAAAGATGGCCGTCATGAGGATCGAAAACGCCTAGTTCCACTGGTATCTGGGTATTGTTCTCCACAACCAGGGGAGAGCGGATAGTGATGTACTTGACGTTGTCGGTGCCCAATTTAACCTCAACAAGAAGTCGATGCAGAATGCCATCTTTCTTTGGCTTCAGATTGTACAAAATCTCTCCTTCCCGAACGACAGGAATACGGCTCACGCTCTCAAAGCCACTTCCTTCAAGCTTGATACCGACCAGACCGGCATGACCTTCGGGTGCGAGTGTTTCACGCATGGCAGTCGAGTCTTCAAACCTCCAAGGATATTCCTCCCCATCAGCCAATTTAGCCGCCGGCCCTTCTTCGTCTGCACTAACATCAGCCCAAACGTGAAGGTCAAAGCCTGTATGGTTACGGATTCTATATGGGGCATCCGCTCCTCGTGGTTTTGAGAGAACGTCTTCATCAGTCGAGAGAAACTGGAACGACTTTGACGCTAGTGCAATTGTGGCAGAGGTGAGGGTGAGCTCCATCGTCTTATGAGAATAGGCGTCTATCGAAAGGACATCGGGATTGACCTCTTTTGCCATATGGAAGCCCAACTGCCATGGTTCTATAAGGGGTTCCCAGGCTGACTTAGAGAAGTTATACACGTTGAGGAATGTATCGAAGCTGGTGTCAGCTTTCAGTGTCGACGACCAATCACGGACGTCCACAGTAAACTTCTTGACACTCCAGTCAAGCAATGGCAGGTCGTGTAGGTCTCCTATAAGGATTACCCTTACACCATCGATTTGGGCATTCATTTCTTCTTTCTTGAGGATAGCTGAACGATGCGATATAAGCTCTTGTTCGATCGTATCAATCACCCCACTGGAGCTGTGATGTGACCTTGGCGCGAGTGCAGTCGAGGTCGGCCTGCCGACCGACTTCCTTCTTGAGGACTTCGTACTAGTACCCTTTCCATCAGAGATTCTCTTCACCTCGCCAGTTTCCCCTTCATTAGGTTTCTGAGCTCTCATCTCGGATACCTTGTTGACAATTTGAATAGCCATTAAGATGTCACGGAGAGAAAGACGGAGGACAAGGGGCTCAAGATGAACATTGATAGAGGTCAAAGCAGAGCCTTTTTCCTGAGGGCGGCTGTCCATGGACATTTCCAGAGTGAAGTCATCTAATATGCGAAGCCTACTGGTCTCAAACTTGTCCATACGGCACAAGAACATACCAACCTTGGATATTTGCAGGGTTGAAACATTTTGATGGGAGTAAAGTAATTGCTTTGTTCCCAGCACAATAGCCTCGGTATGAGTTATCGCAGGATTCGCGATCATGATCACCTGGGCATCAACGAGATTCAATCGGAATGACACAGTCATCTGCCCAGCAGGAGGAGCTGGAGTGTTCCCACTGGAGGGCGTACCAACAGAATCATCAGTATCATCTGCGGTACTAGATCTAGGTTCTGATCCTTCCGGTGTATCGTCGCTTTCCTCTTCTTCCACCGGCTCTTCCGTCGCAAACGCGGAATTGGCAAAGGACTGCAAAGCGGACAAATAATCAAAAGCAACTATTATTCGCGGGCTATCAATGGTCAGCATCGCTATTAAGTGCTTGGCTGGCCCAGGAGACATTGAAACGCTGGCCATGAATTGCTGCTGGACATCATTATTGATTAAGGACATTATCTTCCTGAACTTGTTCGTGTCCTTATTGCGACTATCACGGATCGAGAGAGAGTGGATCAAGAGTTCCGACTCCAGAGAACCATCTGTCAACATGCGCAACTTCACTTGTGTGCCATTGAGGGAGAACTTCGAGAGGCTCGAATCTTCCAGACGGCCGACCGGCTCGTCGTCTTTCGAGAGGATGAGCTCCAACCCAACACCATCTACCTTGAAAACCATATCAAGTCGGACCCAAGTTTCGTCCGTCTGTGCGCTCGGTACCATATTATCCTGACCGTTTCTGCTTTGGACTGCTTTGGATTCTGCCTCCTTTGTTGGTTCTGTCACAGAAGATGGAAGCGCCTGCATGGCTTCAAGCTCCTGCTGTTCTGTATCAGGTGCAAAAGCCCCAGGCACTGTTTTAGACAGTGCCAATAAGAATTTGAGTTGTTTCTGCGATATCCGAAGATTGATGGGAGACATTGATCCCTCCACTTCCATATCAGGACGTGAATTTCCTGGTTGATGCTCTAGATAGCATATGCTAAAATCGAGATTGACTTTCTGTATCATCTCAAGCTCTTCAACCGCACCTCCCTCAAAATGAAACTTGGATGTCAGTCGGATGTTACGGATCCCGGTAGATATTACATTGACAGCAGGGCTGTCTTTCTCGTCCTCCAGAGAAACGAATTCGTTCTTGGCGTATATTTCACCTAGATGGGCCGTCACCGTATCACGGGGACGATCTTCTTTCACGACTCCAGGGAAGACCAAAATCGGTGTCATGACGACGACATCGAACCTCATCCTGGACGCGTTTTCTTGAAGCTGGTTTGCTTGATTCGCCGCAGCTTGGCGGGCAGCATTGAAGATCGCTTGCATCTTGCCAAACTTGACCAAGAAATTGATGATCTTCCGGTACGGTTCCTCTAAGAAGTTGATCTTCATTGAACCCGACCTTAAGAAGACTTCCGAGTCATATCCAGGGTAATTTGCACTGTCCGGGTCAAACGTCTCATACTTGAAATCGGCAAAGTTATCTCCCTCGATTGTTAAGAGCCTTCGAAGATCAGAACTCTCTGGAGCACCAGTGTTGACATCGTCTATCAAGGTCAAGCTTCCAATACGGGATTGGATAAGCATCGATCGGCCCACCAGGAATATGCCAACATCGGCAGTGTTGAGGCTGAGGGTAGCAAGCCTTACACCATCATTGTTCAAAATGAGCGCTATACTCTTTAAGTCGGCTTTGATGCGGATTTTCCCAGCCTGCTGGGATTCTTGATCAGTGGTGCCTGTGTTCTGGATGGTTTGGTCTGACTGAAGGCCTTGGTTGCTTGGCTGTTCTGGATTGGTGAACGTGAGAAGGATAAAGTCCAGAAGCGTGAGAAGCGTTTTCCTGGTGACAATAAGGTTGATAGTCGAGACGGAAACATCAAGGTTCATCGCTATTCCTTCATAGGTGGACTGAAATTCCGGGGACTCAGGTTTCACACGAACGAACTTGAGATGAAACAGGTCCTTATCCTCATCTGCGTCGAAACCTTTGGAGGACACTATTCTTTTGAATTCAGGTGCAGGGTTCTCCTCAATATAGTCATCCACACTAAGGGACTTTAGCACTATTTCTGCGACCATATCAAACGGGCGCATATAGTAGTCCAAAGCAAACCCTTCAGCAACCAATTCAACTAACAGGTGATCATGGAGCTGGTCGTTCGGGTCGGAGCGAAACAATGACCCACGAAGGCGACCAACGGTAAACTTGAATTCAAAGTCACGACGATGGAGATTCGTCGGACCCTCAACACTCTTGCTCATGTTCTCATCGTCAGATTCCTCGTCAGAATCTTCGTCTACAGCAGGAAGTTCTCTCATAACTGACGGCTGGAAGGACGCAGATCTTGCTCTTGTTCCAGGAGCAGACGACTCTTCTGCACCTTTGCCAGAGACGTTGGATTCCTGACTGCCCTCATCAAAGCGGGGAATAGCAATATCAATGAGTTTCATCAGGCCTTTGTATTTGGTATCGGAGATAGACGCGTGCAGTTCTGGGAGATGCCCAGAGATTCGAGTTCTTGTAAGCTCAGTGACCTTCGGAACAATGCACATCTCGAGTACGAAGTCCACATTTATGCGGTCGATAATATGAAGATTAGTCGAGGAGACGTCAGCGCTAAGTTGCGATTTGGTGATATCAATTCCAGGGCCGATAAGGACTTGCGTGGAGTCCAATTTGAGCAAGAACCTATCATACAACAGATGCTCAAGTTCCTTGTAATCACCTTCATCATATTGTCGTTTCTGCTTCGACTGGAGGTCTCTCATGGTCTGTCTGTCAACTAGTTCACTGTTGACACTGATATGGCCTGCATCGAGGATCAAACAAAGTGAACTCTCTTGAGTTATACTCTCAGGGACGATTATGAGGGGCGCATGTATATCGAACTGCGCATCGACCTTCTTATGCTCCTGCAGAGCAAATTCTAGGCCGGCTCGAGTTTGCTGTCGAATTCCCTTTACTGTAGCCCCTGCCGTATCCAGAAGAGCGCCAATTGACTCCATATGCCTCTCTGGGGGTTCGAAGAACTTGACGACTTCCACAAGAAATCTGGGGTTATAGAGGACTTCAATACTCTTCAACTTGACTTTGACTACCGAATCTGCGTCACTTTCCAGAGGGTTCCTCTCGAGCTGGAGATGGAATAGACTATCTTCATCCTCTATGCCATCAACCACCTCCTCAGAATCTAGCTCCTCGTTTCCAGAGATCTGTGATAAACGGTTCTTTGGTACCGGGAGAGAGTCTTTAACTTTGACGATCTGAGGGAAAAGTGTCCCCTCCGTTGTCCCGTCGTATACTCTAAGTCCTCCGAGATTCACGTCTATGAAGAAGGAGTCAGGGCGCTGTAAGGCCTTTGCCCTGAAATTGTCGAATACCAGCTTCATAATTTCGTTTGCCTTTCCATGAGGGTCGCGCTTCAGCGTGAAACTGCCGGCTCTAAGGCTGGAGTTGACTTGGAGTTTTACCCACTCCCTGGGCTCATCGACGCTTTCCGAGATAGCTTTCTTTTCATCCCAGTCGATGGCATTGTACAGCTCCTGTCTCTGTTCTTCGGTCATTGCTTCCTCCTCGGATTCCTCTTTTGGAGCACCCCAGATCCATTCTGACCACGTTTGTTGTCGCGCAGGCTTCTTAACGCCTACATTTTCTTTGCGCAACTGGTTCCGTGCCAATGATCTCCAGAATCGTATATCTTCGTAGCTGAGTTTCCGTTGCAGTCGGTCGAACTCATCCGCATCTGGCCCTGATAATGTTCCGTCCCGCTTTTGCTTTTTAAACAAATCAATATAGGTTATGCGATCATCCCGTCGTTCTTTGATGTAGTCCCAGGTCCAGCGCCTGTTTCGCTCCTGAATTTTGCTGAGGACAGCGTTTCCGGCAAACTTAAACCAAGCTCGAGGGTCCTCTTTCGGGCGGCACTTCGGCTGGAATTTCTTATACTCTTGATGACGAATAAAATAGTGGAAGAGATCCACCAGCATCAATGCATCTCGGTATTGGTCATCATCTAGAACGAAGCTCAGTTCATCAAACAGCAAACGGGCCTTGATGGCCGCTTGATCATGCTCTCCTGATTTGTCTAATTCCAATCCAGCACGGCCGCTAACAGGGCGCAGCATGAATTGGTTGTTTTCCTCGTTATCAATACCAGACCTCAGTCGTTCCATCAAATCCGAATGGTCTATGCCCTGTGCCTCTGCGCCCACGTCGGAGCCTCGACCCGTACCTAGGAGTTCAGCATCTGTGTTCCAGTAAACAGAAAGAGCGCCTAAGACAGCTAGTTTGTGTGTTGTGCTTGAGGTAGATTGTATGAAGGTCGGGTTCCATTCAGAATCAGTGCTGACCGCGCTTAGCTCTTTCAGTGTGAATCCAACGGCGAACGGGTGGCCCGGTGAAGCGATCGAGTCCTCGTAGCGGAAGTGGACATTCTTGATCGAGATCTGAAGATTATCGACTACCGCAGTGACCAAGCTTTGCGTGAAGCTTTGATTTCGGCGTTGCTCTTCCTGGCTCATCCCCTCCGCGTTTCGCTCTTTAATAAGCTCCGCACTCTCAATCTTGTCCATTTTGAGAGTATGCGCTCTCCTTTCCTCTTCCTCGGCATCATAGTCGGCATCTTCCTTTGGGGCTGCTAGGAGAAACACATCTTCGATATCGACCTTGACAGGCTTTCCCCTCAAGTTCGACCAGGGGATGGACAGCGTAAGCTCACCGAGATGGCCTTCGACGACATTCAGGGGGAGATGCAGTTGGTCGAGAGCTTCGCGCCGGAGCTCTAGATTGCGAAGCTTTACATCACCGGACCATATACCAATGTTGAGCTGTTTGGCATCGAAATTTTTAACATAGATACCCAGGAAGCGATTTAGTAAGTTGGCCACCACCCCTTCCAACATGATGGCGAAATGTGGCTGTCGCTAAGGTGTTGGGGAGCAGTCTCTAGCGAAAAGGCCTTGAATAATATCTATCCCCGTAACGCCGGCCTAGTTAACGAAAGCGGCATAAGAAAGTCAGCACGGAAGCGTTCGTGGTATACAGCAGTAAGTTCAGCGATGACCCAGAGACAAAGACGTACAGGCGCGAGCTCTAAGTTCACTCGCAGAGTGTATGAATCAGAGCCATCCAGGAGAATTGATAAATGTGCACGCGACACCGGGGGGCGTGAAGTTGCCGGGTCAAAAGAAGATTCCCTCCAATTATAGAACGGGTGGAAAGAAAAGAGGGGTGTGGGGGGAAGAGGAAATGGTGATGATCTAGAGATAATATCGAAGATAGAGGACAGAAAACCTGACGTGAGGGGAGTATGAAGTTGGGTACCAAGAAGATGGTTCCTCCAATTGTTGTTCCGCTGGTAAAGGTCCCCGAAAAGGTACCTGGGGAAAACCATGCGTTGGCTGATACAGCGTAAAGGGGGGCGCGCTGCGTCAACCGCATTGACGCCGGGTGGCATCGCCAAGCAGTGACGTCGGTTGTCCTTCCATGGCTGGACCCCATGGCTTCTTGGCCGCATTCATTCAGCTCCATCCCTACTGTAGGGTTCAGCCCTGCCTCGTGGTGACTTGGCTTGCCTAAACTTGTCCCGATTCCGGCCGATGTCACGCCTGAGGCATCCTTATGACACCTGCGGGGTTGGTAGCTATGCCATCCCCGAGCAAGTCCATTACCGCACCTCAGCATAATATCACCTCAGTTATTCGCTGTCTCCAGGATCGTTCGTCTCCTCGGCCTTTCATCTCCACTCCCACGAGTTCACCTCGACCAATTCCTGGGTGAATACCCTCATCTCCACTCTTCCACCTTTTCCTCCCTACTTTCTTGCCTCAATTGGGTTCGTCTACCCCTCTGTACATCAACCCGGGCCTTCCAGTCATCGTTGCTAACCGGGCATCGGGAAAAAAATCAGCTGCCTTAGTTGACAATGTTCTACCGTAACGTTGCTGCCCGCTCTGCTCTCAGAGCTTTCTCTAGCTCCAATGCCTCTGTGGCTCGCTCGGCCCTTGCAAACAATGTGTTCAAGGCCCCATTGACCTCTTCCGCTCGTTATCCCGCTCGCCCGACCACTTCTCCCAGCCTTGCTCTGGCGGCTCGCAAGCCCGTGACCACTGCTCTTATCCGCCATGCCTCTACCGCTCCCAAGGTGAGAGGACTAGAATTCTTAACATGTTACTTCGTCAATTGCTGATCATTACGTCCAGGAGGGCAAGGAAGATGAGGCAGAGGTTGATATGATGGCCGGTATCAAGAGTGAGGCGGTACGTGCCGAATCGAGTTCATGATATGTATCACTCCGGTGCTTTCTACGCGCCTGGGTGAAGTATGTCGTAATTGACTAACTGTGCCTACGTGATTGCAGAAAGTGATCAAGGACACTTTCAGCCTTAGCAGCGTTCCCAAGGAGGCTCTCTACCTCGCATGGCCGGTGTCGTCCCCTACGTTGCTACTTCTCTTGAGACTGTCTACCTTTCCTATGAGATCAACCGCGCCGCTTCTCTTGGCGACGGCCTCATCTTCTCTGGCCAGAGTGCCGAGTTGATGCTTCACATGCTCGAGCCCATCCAGGTCGGCTACGGTGCTGTGGTGAGTACAATCGAAATATACAGTTCGGTTGAATATGACCTGACGCTCAATTGGTATAGATCCTTTCCTTCCTCGGTGCCATCCACTGGGGTCTTGAGTGGGCCGGATATGGTGGAAAGCTCGGCTACAAGCGCTACGCTGCCGGTGTCATTGCCCCCGCTGTCGCCTGGCCCACTCTGCTGTTCCCCGTCGAGTATGCCTTGATCAGCCAGTTCCTTGCTTTCACTTTCCTGTACTACAATGATGCTCGTGCTGCCGCTGCCGGCCGTGCTCCTGCCTGGTACGGCATGTACCGCTTCGTCCTGACCTTCATTGTCGGTGCCAGCATTGTCGCCAGCTTGATCGGCCGTGAGCAGATCGCCAACACTGTCAGCGAGCACAGCTTCAAGGACAAGATCAACGCTCTCCTCTTCCTGCAGAAGAAGGAGAAGGAGGAGGCCGAGGCCCGCCGCAAGGCCGAGCTCGGTGAGGAGGACTCTGAGTAAATGATGGTCCCCCCTGGGAACCGCGGTGATTGTATAAGCGTATGATAGTCTGTGCATAGTCGAGATGCTTGTCAGGATGTGAAAAAGTTCTCACTCATGGGAGAGGGGTGGAAAGAGATTTAAGCTGTCAGTGGCAGCAAGGTGTGATAGTAGATGCATTATGCTTTTGGCTCTTTTTTAGTTGAGTTTCTTGTAGATTACAGGCGGAATCAAGAACCCAGCAGACGCTGGTACTTTTCCTTTGTTTAAATCTAATATCGTTCCTCGGGAGAAGAAGAGAGGGGAAAAAAAAAAAAAAAAAAAGTGGCGCCGAGCAAAGGCTTATATCCCCCACTCTATATCCTCGGGGCACGGCCAGGCCACGTTCCTGCAAAAGTATAAATAGAGCCAGCCAACTTTGGATGTGGGGATAGATAGGAAAGAGGGAGAGATCTAGTTCGGTCCATGATCTGGAGTTAGTCCAGCAACAAGGATAGAACCGAGGAAAGTCAAACGAAGAAGCTAAACGGCGGACCCTGTAAGGCGAGTGCTCGGAGTGCCTGGAAGATACAGGGCACGGGCGTACCGTATACCCCGTCAGTTAGTCCGGAGGGAATGGTTTGTGTGTACAAGTTCATCATCCGATGGGCGATGACGTTGGAATCGTGAAACCGGTTTTGCTACCGATCCGTACCTGATAGGTTAGGCATCAAGGTCTTGTTTCCATGCTTCGAGTTACTACTACTAACTACGTTTCCCAGACTCTAGTTAGTCATGGATTGTAGACCTCGGTTGAAAGAGAAATCAAGCCGTCGAGGCTTCCTGATTCCTTTTTTTTTGTCTCAATCATAGATTGTTGTACAGGGGCATATATCCATTCAATTGGGCAGGTGGTTAATAATGCGAGCTATTATTGCCTAGGTACTGTCTCCCTGGCCTCGTTCTTGGTGATCGACTGCCTTGCATGATTTATATCTATCAAACCACCCAATTGGAACAACAGTCCCTGACAGTGTTCATGCCCGAAGAGGAAAGTAACCCATGCCGAGCCTTTTTTGAGACACAGCTCCATGTGCTTAGCAGTGCTCTAGCGTAGGACGGTCAAGGGTAGTAGAAAAAAAAGAAAAGCTAGTAAATCGACGTAACCGTTGGAAGAACCCGAGGAAAGATGGAAGGAAACCAAGTCTGGTCGACGACGTCACCACCCGCTCACAACCGGGTCGTGGCGACCCAGCTGCCCTACGAAAAGCACGAACAAATGTCATATCTGCAGCGATTCGCATACAGAACAGGGGGACGTGATGTATCGGGATCGCGAATTGAACACATTCTTGGGTCAGATTGAGATGTCCTTCCTTCCCAGGCACAGGTAGGCGAGATGCCGTACGTCCGTGTGTTGATGGTCGGGAGAATTGATCCCGTGGCCAAGGGCAGCAGGAGAAAAGGGCCCTCAACTGGGCCAAGCCGAACCGAGTATCCGGGCTTGCAAAATTTCTCCGTAAATCACAGGGCCGAACGGGTCGATTGTTCTGGCTTCCAAGATGACTAGCGCCTCTCTGCTTTCCCTATACGGGACTGGCATACACGAGACAGAAAAAGGTGCAATTCAAACAGGGAAGTATTAGCCTGGTCTCTATTTTCGAAAATCATTTCTACATTCTCATGAGTAAATGAAGAATAGTTCCCCAGAGATCTACCACTTAAAATATGGACAGACGAATAACACAGCGGAATTCTCCAACATTGCAAACCATTCGGTCAAGCAAGAAAAATAAAAATAAAAATAAAAAATAAACATAAAAGTCAAAAATTAAAAAAAAGATGATAGACTAAAATAAAGTAAAATAAAATAAAAGAAT